ACCGATCTTGTTTGGTGAGGACCGTTTGAAGTTTTCCTTTAGTTCAGTCCAATTCAGCAGGTGTGAACACTCCACTCGTACTTGGGTGTGCACTAAAAAAATGAACCATGGTCCAGCAAAAGTCACAGGTTTCGTGATGTCAACATCAGAGTAGGTCTGCATGATAAATCATGTTGTTATTGTTATTGCGTATATGTTTCAGTGATGAACAACTTGTTAAGAGCTGCAGTGACAGAACAGGTCAAATTACCCTGAACATGTAGCGCGAGAGAGACGTCATTACATTGCCAGCAAATGCTCTTCTTAATGAATGGACAAAAATTCCCAAAAAACTCCAAAAAACAAAATCTTGTAGAAAGCTTCCCAGAAGAGTGGAAGCTGTTATAGCTGCAAAGTATGACATAATTTAAAATAAATTATATTTTGCTTCTTGCTTAAAGGAGTAGTTGGATTTTATACATCTAAAAAAAAGTCTAGACTTGTGTCTTGTTCTGTCAGAGACACACTATTTTAGTCATAATTTGTTGCTTCTCATATTGTTATCATGTTACTCAACAGCTTTATTGAGCATCGCATTTTTATGTCAACATTGTACAGCCGTACAGCAGAGCGTAATTTTCAGATTCTTCTAGCAGCACGCTGTCCATATAACCTGTTTTAACATCTGACTCTTCATAGACACACATATTGCTCCTGCAACCAGAGCTTCTGCTGCTGCAGACGTGCGCAATTTGGTGCACTTCAGCTGTTGCAGTGTGAAACCAGCCGAATCAAATGAAAATGATACAGTGCCACAAAAAACACAAACTCAGTGTGGACTTTAGCAAATGAACCAGGAGTGAAAACAGCTGTGGAATAACACTCATGAACGTATATGATCATGCAACACAAAACAGTGTGTAGAGTCCCCCTCTGAGTATGGTGAAGGGGTGTTGAATGCTGAAAACGCTCTTTTAATGTTTTAGGTTAACAGAGTTCATTCCAGTCCAGTTCTGTTGGATCGTTTGTCATAAAATTTCCCACACTGTCCGGAGCAGCTGGCTATTAAAAATGATGCTAAAAAAGGAGATACAGAGTTTAGATCTGACAATGATGATGTGATGTTTGTTTGTTTGTTTGTTTGTTTGTTTGTTTTAGATTTGCTGATTGATGCATTTCTGCACATCGCAGAGAAATTAGCTTGTACTGTTTAGTTCACCCGTGGGTGGAATACAGCGTAATAATGTTTAGCCTATTTCAGTAAAGAACTGAAAGTCCGAAGGTTGGAGTATTGACTGTTTACCTCACTGCAGTAATGCAAGATACTGAACCTTCGATACACATTGAGACTTTCTCATTTTTGACCTGTTGTTTTTGTTAGTATTTTCAAGCCACAAGTTCTTTGGCTACAGTGGTTCTTGAGTAAATGTGCTTTTTAGATGTATTAAATATATGAATGTCTGTTAAATGTAGCTCCTTCAGCATGTAGTGAATGTTGCCTAAAGTCATGCTCAGCTGAGTGTGTGGAAGTGTAAGGTGTAATATGTGAGCATTGTGTTTTTAGAGCTACATTCCTCTACCAGTCACAGATGATGACATTTTGTGAGTCATCTCTGAAACTCCAGGTAAACTTCCTGTTAAGCCCTTTCAAGCACCTTTTGGTGGTCCTTTGATCAGAGGAAGCCTAAGAAAAAAGAAAAGACAAAATGAGTATCTGGAGTGTGACGTTAGTCGGTGTGACGTATTACCTCTGTGGTGTAATGGTTATAAAATGTTAATATTAAACAATGTAATGTTTATTATTTAACCAAGAAAGAGATGAGGGGCAAGTCACATGTATTCAGAAATGGTCGCTACCATTCATTCCTACTGCAATATTCTGAACATAAATAGTCCCCTTTAAAGGATTGCGCCACCAGTTTACAGATTTTGGTGAAAAATAATCATAAAAAACCCTTAAAAGTTTTTGTTGGTTCTTGGTGGTGTCCAGTAGTCAGTGATGGTATCGTGATGGGCTGATATCACAGTGAAAAGGACTCTAATGGTTTAACAGGTGTTCTGGGACCGATTACAGAAGCATTTGATGGTTTCCTCATGGGATTTAAAGGTGTCCTACAAGAAAACTAGTGGTCTCTAATGGTAACCATTAAGCCAATTCCCATTAGAAAGCAAAACTGTCAGTTTTAATCCTAATGGTTCTAATGGTCTTTTTTTCAGCAAGGATAATATAGCCTACATTTCCCATACCCCTCCACAAGGTGTAGAACTAGCATCCAGTTTTGGGTTAAACATTATTTTGTGCAACCACAAGTAGAGAAGTAGTTGAAACATATAATTTCCTTAGGTTGTTGAATAATTATGAATCAGTATTTTAACATTCAGCAACACATTTTGGCATAAAATTGTTATTTAACTATTAGCTTCATAGGCATTATTACAGTCATTATTTACTAACTATATAGCTAGCTTGATAGCAAACTAACATACGAGCTGTGTTCTTCGATCTGAGAAAAGTGAAAAACAATGATATGTGGAAACTCAACACAGCCCACAGCATTCAAATGAGTGTGGAGCAGTAAAATAGTCAGGCAAATTAGACATTTACATACATTATGTTCTTTATCTGCTTCGAAAAATGGAGATGATGGAACAAATGTTGGAGAATACTGCTCTATGTTCTTTTGCACAATATGTTAATTTAAGAGCACTCATTGCAGTGAGTCAAATCCATCCATTCATCCATGCATATATACATCCATGCATTAATATTTTCGAAGAAAAACATTGGAATATTCTTTTTAAGGAAGCAGAATAAAAATTGCATAACAATTCTTCAAAATCACAAAGAAGCCAAGCAAGGGGGGAATTTAAATAGTCTTTGAAGTGATTATATAGCCTACATTTCCCAGCTTACGTAAGCGCTTAAGATGCTAGGCCTGATGTAATCTGCAGCTGGCAGAGTGGGAGGGGGCAGGAGCCGGTCGCATTCCAATCACTCACTTTACAGTATGGCTGTGGACCCAGAATGGAGCTTGATTAGAGAGACTCAATGTAGTAGACGCTATGGGGTGGACATTTTTCTTAAAATTGTAACCTTGTCATGCAAGAGTAATGTTTTGAGGTCAGGTACTGATGTTGGATGGTTCTGCAACACAGATGTCACTCCAACTTATCCCAAAGGTACTTTTGTTCCACAGAACACAGTTCCATTCCTCCCCAGCCCAGTCCTAGGGGGCGTTATACCCCTACGTTTGGCATTGGACATGATGAATTCACTGCTTAGGTGGGGTATCAGGACATTTTTGGACATATAGTATGTCTTGTATTATTTTGTTGAGCCACTATGGCTTTCAGCATATTCTACAGTGGCTTCAGTTGGATGATGCTGATGCAGCTTTACCCTCTCACCTTATTATAAAAGACAGAACTGGCCTCAGGACAGTTTGAGTATTAGAGCGCAACTGTTAAAAGAGTGTGAAGCCAGCCATTGCCTATGGAGAGTAATTGAGCAGACGCTGCTGGTGATGAGTTGGCTCAGAGCTTTGGATGGTCAATGTGTCTCCATATATTACAGACATTAAAAAGGAAAAGTGATGACCGTCTTCTTATAGAATGTTTAATGAGGGACTGTAAATGTGTGAGGGACTGCATGTGTTCAGCCAGGTGTACCGCTGTATTACTGCACTATGAAATGAGCAGTCCAGATGCAGTAGGATGCCATTCAAATATAATTAAGAAATTTTCAGAAACTGGATAATGGTTTTTTTAGTGGTTAATGGCTAAATGGTTTAGGTCAGAGGTCCCCAACCTTTTGCAACTCATGCCTGATGCAAATGACCACAAAAGGTTCCGCAACCCACCAGAAGATTTTACCAAGCTCATAATTTTCTGACTCATCTAATGAGTTAGCTGATGTTTGACAGCTAGCAAGTGTTGGATGTCAGGCTGCAAATGGAGTTCTGGCTCTATTCGACAGGGTTAGATACATATTCACTATGATCAAGTCTCCAAGTGGTGATGTAAGTTGTTGGGTTTCAAAGCTTCATTTGAAAAGACCTCTGAGTAAACAGCACAGAGCTGTAGTTACTTGTTTTTTATTCCCGCGCATGTGAAGCTCAGTGGTTGCTACTCATGTTACAGTCATATTTTCTTTCTTTCATTTATGCTTGGTTTTCTCGGTTTTCTTAGTCTGAGATATGATTGCCGCTTCACTTGTAGATGGCCCAGCGTTTGGTTAAACATCTATATTGTCGCGATTCTTTGTGGTTAAGAAAAAAGAAAACTAATGGCCAGTGACCCAATAAACGGTCTGCTGGTGGATTGCGGCCCACTTGTTGTAAACCACTGGCGTAGGTTATACCAACTCTTTGCTGCTCATACCTGCTATAGCAGAGTCTGTACGTTTGTTTCTAGTTAGCAAGCTCTCTAGATAGATGGCTAGCTTGTTAGTTGGCTAGCTTTCTAGAGAACTACCTGGCAGGCTAGCCAGATAAAAACAAAGTCCTTAAAGGAAAATCTGTCTACTCAGTGGCAGACTTGGCAACCCTTCAAGCAGTTATTTCCCCTTAGACAAGACAAGACTTAGGAATGACCTGTAACCCAAAAACTGAAAACAACACTTTCAAAAGCAACTTTAAAATCAGCGGTAAAATCTGTCAAAGACTGCATACATGTTTTGCTGCGTTTGGCTAAAACAACAAAAAAATAAGTCAGTTGTTTTTGCTACTGTGTCTGAGATGAGACTTTCCGTAATACAGCCGCCATTTTGCCTGTTATGAGCTTTGCCATTCATATATCAACCATTGATCCTCTTTTATAATGTCATAGATAGATAGATAGATAGATAGATAGATAGAAAGATAAGCCGAAGACACTGAACAGTAATATTAAAACTGAAGTAACATAACACTACAAAATATAAATAAAAATTAGTTCAAATAAAATGAATGGTTAAATTATCTAGTGAGAAAATCAATAATAACCATTCTTCTCTCTGTGTCTGTTTCTCTTTTTCTCTACAGTGTGCGGGGGAGGAGAACTGGGTGGACAGCAGGACTGTGTATATTGGTCATAAAGTGCCGCCGCCAGGCACTGAGGCCTACATCCCTCAGAGATACCCTGACAACAGGATAGTCTCCTCTAAGGTGTGAAGCTCCAGCATAATCCTCAAAAACAGAACCACAACACTGTCTCTACTACTACACGCTATAAAAGCCGCCCTGACATCTCAAAACAAAACGACTGTTACAAAAAAGTCACCTGTTTGGTTTTACTGATACCAAACTAAAGTGTCTTTTTCTTTCAACGTAGAAGAATTTTTTTCTTCTGTAAAGAAATGTGGTCCAACTGGGCAGTTGCCCACATCGGTATTTTAAGCAGTATCAGGAATCTGTAAAGAATATTATACAGTCAGCTAAAATCAACAGTCATTAGATTCCTGTAATGTCACCTGTATTGAAAGGTGAACTTGAGTGGAGTTCTCATGATCATTGATGTGCACAAACTCATTTAATGTGTTTTTGTAATGTTTCTGTGTTTGTTTCTCTTTTTACAGTACACTTTTTGGAACTTTATACCGAAGAATTTGTTTGAGCAGTTTAGAAGAATCGCAAATTTCTACTTCCTTATCATCTTTCTTGTTCAGGTAAGTAATAACGACATCACTTTATACTCTATAATGTGTTTTATGGGCCAGAATTTGGAAAAGTGTACTGGAAAATCTCTCTCTCTCTCTCTCTCTCTCTCTCTCTCTCTCTCTCTCTGTTTCTCTCTCTCTCTCTCTTTATTTCTTTGTCTCCCTTTTTCTTTCTATCTTTCTCCTCTCCTTTTTCTTTGTCTCTCTTTCTCTCTCTCTCTCTCTCTCTCTCTCTCTCTCTCTCTCTCTGCAGTTGATTATTGACACTCCCACCAGTCCCATCACCAGTGGTTTGCCGCTTTTTTTTGTCATCACTGTGACAGCCATCAAACAGGTGAGGTGGTAGAAAAGCTCTTTGTTTTTTCTCTTTCTTTCTTTAACTCTCTTGCTCTTCTTTATTCTCTCAATGATGCAGCAAAACTGATTGCATATTAAATATTAAATGAAATCATGGAAGTTCTTTTTATTTGATTGTTGCAAAAGGTTGCAATTAAAGGGTTTCGCTGTCCGCCACTCTGCAATCAAGCGCTTCTGAATATAAACAGCATCTAATCAGTGCAATAATAAGGAACAGGACCTTTGATTGTTTGCCCTGTAGTGCGTGGCACATTACAACTGCATATTAAATCACCTCACCCTACCAAGTTATTTGTCCATTTCTGTAGATGACAGTGTATCATAGAGTGTGAAAAACACATAAGTAAATGTGTTTGAGAGACAGACAGTTTGCCACACATACACTTGCTCACTTGCTGACAGTGTGGTGAAGGACACGTCCTCTGACTATATCACTTTTTCCTACATCTCTGTAGATCGGTGTTAATGGATTTAACACCACTGAACTCTCAAATGTGCATTCATCTTTGTAATGAGCAGCTTATAAACTGCTATAACATCCCTCTATATGTAGTTGTGGATGGACTGCTCTTGCTGAGTCTGATCCTGAAGCTCTTGCAGTCCATGCTCCAATAATTAACCCTCTTTGTCCTCAGAATTAGTGACATTATCATTTATTTTTCAATAGAAATTTTGTCTACTGTTATTTACTTTTTTAGTAACATTTAAAAACATCTAGTAAGTCAGAAGTTGATTAGTAGCTTCACTGGATGAGTTTGGATAGGCCGATGAGCAAAACGCAGGCATATCCACCATCCAGTCATCAACAGAGGCAGGTAAAAATGAAAAATCAGAAGAATTAACGAGGCACACTTGGAAACATGGATAAAAAAAATTACATGAAAACTGCCAAGAACAAAACCAGAGACAAAATAACACAACAAGCATTAGGTTTTAGGGACAATGGGGGGCGGAACCATTTGTTTTGTCTTAATTTCCTAAAAAACCTTTCTAAACTGCACCTAAAAGAACCAGCTCAAAGAATAACACGTCACTAATTGTAGAACGTTAATTGCTTAATTGTATCTTGCAGAGCAAATATTTGGAAGCAACTGCACTTGTTATGTTTCTCCATCTATTTTGTCAGGTTTTTTTTTTATTTGTCACTTGTCTGTTGCTTCAAACATACCTTAGCTAATCAACTACATTTGGAGTAATGGAAAAAATGTGTGAAATTGATTTCTCAGCAAACTATCGCTTTAATCTCTTACATCCTTCACTGCAAACCTCATGACTATACTTCATGTGTCTTTCTCTCCTTCTGTCTTCTTCTCTCTCTCTCTCTCTCTCTCTCTCTCTCTCTCTCTCTCTCTCAGGGCTATGAGGACTGGCTCAGGCACAAGGCGGACAATGCCATCAACCAGTGTCCAGTTCATGTGGTCCAGCACGGTAAAGTGGTGCGGAAGCAGAGCCGCAAGCTGCAGGTGCGTGTCACCTTAATGACACATTCCCACACGCCACATTTTCAGAACATGAATAATGCAAGCAGCCAAATGTCATTCACCTCCATTGACCTGAATGTCAGCCATTATATAGCAGAAAGACACGTTGAGAAATGCCAGGCGAATTCACTCTAAGTACTCTCTGAAGGACACTGACCTTTGGTGGACACAATGCCTCGATACATGCACATTTATATTACAGTCAGTATATTGTGTGCTGGTGCTTTGTGTGAGCCAATTGCACTTTGCTTACTTCCTGATATTGCAGGCTTATTATTTAACTTCGTAAAACAATTCCGTTGTTAATCTAAAAGTCCCAAGAACATAGTATAAAATATTAAACATTTTGTATGAGATTAAAATAGTTATGATTTATTAGTTAGGTAAAACTGAGTTATTTGAAACTTCCAGCAAAGTTTGAATGGAAAAAACAGATGGAAATATAATAAACTGTCTAACTGTACCCTGTTTTAAAACTGCTAATCAGACCTGTCTGAGAACTGTGTGTAATATAACTTCAGCCTTGTGACTGATGAAGGTAATGCTTACACGAGTGTTAACCAAGACAAGGACTGCCCAGTTTACCACAAAAGGGGAGAGATATGGTGAAATATATTGTTCATTTATTGGTGACTGGAATGTTATTGACAGAACATAGTTTGTGATTGTATATTATTGCCTACAAGGGCAAGACTAACCTAATTAGAAAGAAAACATGGATTTAGGTTCTTTGGGCTTATTATTCAGTAACTATTAGAATATATTTGGTATCTGCTTTGTAGTTATTCGAGTGAAGAATTGAATTACAGAGATTAAAAGAGTACTGCAGCGCTTTTCAACCTAATCTCTGTCCACTGTATCTGTAGCTTATGGTCAGTTACCACAGATAATTACTCAGATTTCCAGTAATTACTGAGAAAAGAACAGAAACCCCATCGATTCAACAAACGTTCAGAAGAAGACAGTGAGCATTTTTTCCTGCACCTGAAATTAAGATGAAAATGCTGGCGTTTTGCCTTAGAAGTAGAGAGTTATTACTTTTATTTTGTTATACTATTCACATGTAAGTACTTAATTATATATTTAAATGTATACTGAGTTACGGAATAAGTTTACATCAGATTTACATTCCAAGGCAAAAGGTTTGAGTCCTCTCTTCCAACTTTTTCTGGTTGTTTTGATGCCAAACCATCATAAAAACAGGGCAGAAATGTTTTTCTTTCTGCAAAAGAAGATTCAAATCTTAAAGGTTCATATCCTGCGTTTGTCTTGTATTATGACGTTTCTGTGGTTTTATGTACCTGAAACAGTCATAATGCATTTTTGTGTGACCGTTTTCAGCCTTTATTCATCCCTTAGAATTACACTGGCTGTTTTTTTTTACTGTGCCTTCAAGACTGATATGTAAATGACTTCTGTTCTGATTGGCTACCTTATATTGCACCTCACTCAAATAGCAGTCTAGACCGAAACATTTCTTATAACATCAATGTGAATGGGTGGGGCTAAGCTGCTCTAGCCTAATATATGTAATTATTTACATATAGTTCTTTTCTACAAAGAAATATGGTACGTGAGTGAGTGGAGAAATCATGAAATATAAATGTTTATGCTTTTTTATGGCCAGGAATAAGTGCAACTTCTAATAGCTAACTGGTTTATAGAATAGAAGTTATTTTTCTACCCCATAATGCAATTCAGCTAACCCTATTGTCCTAGTTAGTGTCTGGCAGCAGTGGGTTGGCATGACGACAAGCAGAATGGCAGAGCGTCCCCACGTTACCCACGATGCACTTGGAATCCGTGATTATCTGGCTGCAGAGGCGTCGCTAGGACACTTGCTTTTTCCCACGTCCAGCAAATATCAGTGAAGGCAGCCCGCGTTTTACTTTAGACATGTGACAGATCAGCTTTGTTTCTGAAGCAGCTCAGATTTCAGTCCTCTTTTATTGTGGAATGCATTTGGAATCATTCCAGTTTGATTCTTCATATTTGCTGAAGAGAACTAATGTGTGCTGAAACGTCTGAGTGAAACCACATGGATTCTCTGAAGCAGAAACTGAAAATGGAAATGATGAGAAAGATCAACAGAGATAGCAAGAGTGTTTGTTTAGATGCCCCCCTCCCCCCGCCCCCTAATCCAGTCAGTGTCTATAATCCGTTACGTAACACTCTCAATCTCAGCCCGCTCCAACAGGTCCCACACTCCCTGCATCTGAATTATAGATTTACATTGGCATAGATGTTTGTGTGTTTGAAAAGAGAGCATTTAGGACTTTAGTTCATGTTATTTAAAAATCCATGTGTCCGCTTCGTTCTCACTGCACTGGGATTGGCTGTTGTCCAGTGTGGAAGATGATGTCATTGCTTTGCTCTCTGGAGTATTCTGCTTGGCTGATGACATCATAGCGTAGCTGCTAGCAAGAGAGTTTTCTGCTCAACAATCTATATTTCTTTAGACCTTTAGACGAGTCAGTGTGTCACTCTGACTGTGATCATACATCATACAGAACAAAATAGCATCGGGCATACAGTACTAATTAGGGGTGCCCAGTTAGGGGTGAGTGAAGGGAAGCAAAATAAGTACAGTACTGTGCAAAGGTCAGAGACCACCCTACTTTTATTTAATATTCAGTTAAAACAGCCATTATGTACAAGTCAGCTTTAGGAGAAAAAAACTGAAAATGATTTAATGGAAAATTTCACAGAAGCCTCAACAACTAAATATATTTTTTTCAGTGTTTAGTGTGTCCACTCTGCGCCTTTATTGCAACTTCCATTCTTTTCAGCAGACTTGCTTTCAGTTTTTCAAAGAAATCTGCAGGGATATTTTTAAGTTCAGTCTTAGACGTTGGTTGCATTTTCTGTTTCCCAGTAATCCCAAACACACGCACTTCTGAG